TGAAGTTTATATGCAATTACAACGATAGTACATCAAGCCACACATGCACTTTTGGTGCCTAATTTAAGTAGTCTGCCCAAAGCGGTAGTGCTATACTAAGGGTTCTACACTATCTGCCGTACCTGCACCCCAACTACGGGGGTACCTATTTAAACTATCTGGTTACAACTGCCATCGACTACCCAACTAACCCTGGGCTTCCTCACCATTTATATATAAATTTTGGTATCACCCTGGCAAAGGATTACTGACTGCCTTAGGACTTATCAACCATTTTTGGCTAATTTATCTTTGAGATAAACCTAACAGAGTGGTACATGTCCCATACATGTATTCACCTACATGTTTCTATAACTTCTTTCTAATTAGTACATATTGGCCTGTCTTTCTGTATTCATATCTCACGCCACCTTTTGGGGTGCTGCCATTTTACGGATGTACCTCAAGCACCAACCTTCCTAACTAGACGCCCATTACATACTCCTTGCCCTTATTTGGTTCACAACAACCCCAATATCTATATTCAGACTGTCTCCTTACCCAGATTCTTTATCGGTCCCTCCCTTACTTCTAGCTAGCAACCTGGAAGGATTGGTCTGCCCAGGCTTTAGGTGCCTGAAAGACACCCTCCCCTTGGTTTATACTTTCGGAATATATGCCCTTTTCCTCCAGTGCGACACCCGGTGGTTCGGCTAGTATGTCCTCCACCAGCAGACCTGGTCGCTCGGTTCTCCAATTTCGGGCCCCAGTTTGAATTCAGCCCTTCTGTAATACCGTCAAAAATTACTGCTACCTCCAAATTTGGGACTTGCCAAATGGGTTTTTGGTTATTCTGGTTTCTTAGATTTATTGTGCCAAAGCTTCTATAACTAGATAGTGTGACTGAGATTACAGATTTCTAGATTCAACCGATAATCGACAACTGTAAACCAAAGCACAGGCTATTTTTTAAAATTTGTCATCCATAGGATTTGAACTCTAAACCTGCTACTTGGAGAGAGTGACGACTAGACCACTATACTAAGTCACTACACCTCTCTTTATTAATATCATGTATTATAAGTTAAATATCATATATATATAAATTAACTAATAGCTTTATAGATTTATTTGATTATCATATGATATAGTTTATATTTATTATTTTATATCCAGGTTAATACCATAGTCCTATTGGTTATCTGATAGGATTATGATATTAAAAATTAAAACCAGAGATATATCGAAACCCGATACGTCTCTGGTTTTTATCTAGTTACATGGTTCCTAATATAGCTTCATTCGACCTGTGTTTGTTTAAATAAAGTATTGTATTTGAGCTCCAGCAAGGCTGTCAAAGAGCTAAAATATATATATATATTTTTTAATTGTTTTATTATCTAAATAAATATTCTCAAATTTGATTGGTTAATATATTAAAAATATATTTAAAGAAGATTTTTATATATATAATTTAAAAAATAACCTGTATTTAGAGAATATAAAACATGCACTTATTTTATAAGTCCAAACTTGAAACTAGGCTATTTTCATGTATATAGAAAAAACATGCACTTAGAGAATATGCACTTAGAGAGAGTCAACTATATATGTTATACATATATCAAATTGAAACTTGTATTCAATTAAACTTTACTGTATATTTCTAAAAATAAGCAATCTCCAAAAGAAGCTACTCTTCTTTTTTCTTGAAGAGAAAACATAAGAAACATCTTTGTTCCGAAAATAAGCTATCTTCTATTAGCCACAAGTAGTTGCTACATATAAAAGTCAAAATTCTATTAAGTAAATTGACAAAAGTTACTTAATAGCAATTGTTCAGGGGTAAAAATATACCTTTTCTAAAAGTTCAAGCAAATAAAAGAACTTTATACTAAGATGTTTTTGCATTTTACGTTCAAATGTAAAATGCAAAAACATCTTTGTAAAAAGTTCTCTGATTCACTTGAAATTTTCAGAAAAGGTGTATTTTTACTTCCTAAACAATCGCTATCAAGTGAATTTTGTCAATTTATTTAATAGAATTTCAACTTTTATATGTAGCAACTACTTGTGGCTTAATAAAAATTAATAAAAATTAATTGTACCAAAAATAAGCCACCCCATGATTTTTGTGTAACTTTTCGACCAAAAAAGGGCAGCTTATTTTCAGAAACCTATGGTAATACTGAATTTTATTAGATTGGGCTAAAACCTTATGTTAGAATAAACCAAGCCTACCGAATAATTGTTTGTAGAGGCAATTAATTGCAATTTTTGAACTCAATTAATTGAGTTAATTAATTGCAATTTTAGATGTGATGAATTATTTGTGTGACAAATAAGAATTCACTAGTGCAATTAATTAGTAAACTGTATTTGTCACATATCATGATTCATCATACCCAAGTGGCAAATGGCAATTATTTATAAATTAATTGTTTTATAATTGTTATTTATCACAATTGTAGCTAATTTTAATTGTAGTATAATTTAATTGCAATTAATTATTCAGCACCCCTGAAATAAAAGTATTAGTAGTATTATAATTATTTTAACCTGATATAATAATTCTGATAATACCTTGTTCACTCTAACTCTAATAAAACTTCTGTACTTGAATTTTAATATAATATAGTGCTGGAAGTCTATACTCGACAGTTATATGAAGTGTTTCAATTTTTTAAATGGCTATAAGAGGTTTAAAAAAATTCTGACTAGTAACTTTATAGAGCTACTTTAGCTCTATATATGTGCCAAATATCTTTTTAAAATCTCATCACTGTAATGAGTTGAAGCAATTTGAAAATTGAAATTTTATATGTAAATTTATAAACTTACATATAAAATTTCAATTTTCAAATTGCTTCAACTCATTACAGTAATAAGATTTTAAAAAGATATTTGGCACATATGTAGAGCTAAAGTAGCTCTATAAAGTTACCAGTCAGAATTTTTTTAAACCTCTTAGATAAAAGTTATAGCCATTTAAAAAATTGAAACACTTCATGTAACTATTGAGTATAGACTTCCAGCATCATACTAATTTTGAGTTGTTATATGATATACTGTATAGTGCAGTAACAAGAAATGTAAAAATACTATGCAATAATCAAGTATAAAAAAGCTTGTCATCTTTGCCATTACTCACCTCTTATGTTGACAAGCTACTAAAAACTTGCCATAGCAGGCAATATCTTGAGTGGCTTTGCCAAGCACCCTACTACTACTGTAGAACCCTCCATGATTTATTCTTAAGTTTTTTAACAATGCAATTTACTATCATGAATTATATATAAGTAACGAGTTCGATACATGATAGATCACATCAAGAGTATATTATATGATGACGTCTAATTTGTTTAATTGTGTCATGTAATATATTCTTATGATTGCCACCATTGCAAATAGAGTTGTTAATAGCTTGAGCGGCTTGGCTTGGCTTTTAAAAGCTGTGGCTCTGGCTTGAGCCATGGCTATTGAAGTTACAGCTTAAGCCATGGCTCAAGCTATGGCTCAAGCTATGGCTCAAACCATGGCTCAAGCTATGGCTCAAACTATGGCTCCAGTAGTTATTGCTAGAAATATAACACTCTAATAGCATCAATTGATGTTTGTAATTAGCATATGGAATAGAATTATATACATATGAGCTCTTTAGTAAATTAGCAGTAAACTTTTTTTGAAAATACTGCTCAATATTATTCTTTCATAAATAAATTATTGAAGCTACAGCTTAAGCTAAACCACAACTAAGCTGCGGCTCTAAGTTATATCTCAAGCCACAAATTAAGCTAAAACTCTAAGATGCAGCTCAATTACTGTAGCTCCTTGGCTTGGGTCGGCTTGGCTCTATTATGCAGCTGAAGCCGGCTTCAAATGAGCCATTAACAACTCTAATTGCAAAGTAATGATTCACACCTAGTATATATTAAAAGATGAAATAATTTTATCATTCATGAATTAAGACATAAATTATATTTCACATAATACAAGTAATTAACAAAAGTGATTGATAATAATTAAGTGATTTAAATGAGATTTACAAATTCCAAATACATAAATAATAGGTATGCCCGTAAACATGCGTCTTTGATTACTATATTAGTATGATATGCCTTCCTAATGCAGTCATTAATTTCTGAATTTATCACTTTGATTGAACCCCAAACTTCGTAATTTGCTAAACCTCAGAATGTAATTTTAAAATTTAGCCTTATCGTTATTCCCGGTTATAAACTCAAAATAACGCCTCATGTTTATCCTTAAAAAGGTTTGTCCATACTGCAAAAAGCAATGCAATAAAACGTATTTGCTTGTGATAATATACCAATGTAAATGTTTGTTCGAAAGGATATGCTATGCTATGCATTAATAGGGAAGAAGTTTATAAAATTTCTCTAAGACTAGATTAGATACATGCATTTAAAGAAAAATACACATTTTAATGGTGCTGTAGGCAAAATATTAATAGTAGTAAGAAAATTGAAATTCATTGTACTGTACATATTTAACATTTTTAACTTGATTAATAAGAATAATTTTAGTTCAATTCTGGGTTTTAGGAGTACCGTTTCAGGTTTTGAATAGACATGAAAAAAATTTTTTTTTCGGCCGACTCGAAATTATATACAGTCATACTTCCCTAAATACATATTCCTTAAATGCATAAACTATGAAAGACTTCTCTAAATGCATGGCCTTATTTGGCCCCAACTCATACGACACATAGATTTTATCTCCCTAAATGCAATGCCTCTCTCTTCTAAATGCAAGATTTTTCACGGCAATGCGTTTAGAGAAGTCCGACTGTATCTAAAATTAAACTATACCACATGAATTTTTTTCGTTACTGTTGTAATGTACAGTATGAATTTACTAATGAAAGTTTACTAAAAATAAAGCACCTCACCACTTCTATACGTACGAATTCTACGTGAATATAATTTCCAATCACTATATTTGTACATATAAAGACAATCTTTAATTATTATGTGCATGAATGAAAAAAAAAATCTTTTTCAATCAACGTTAATTTTATCTTCCATATGAATTTCAAGTAAATCTATACGATTTTTCAATTTTGCTACACCTTCATCTAATTTTCAACATGAGAATATGATTGGTTGAGAATAATGTGTACTTTACGTGATTACGTGATTTTAATTTAACATTAGCTGATTGAAATCTATTGCTAGAATAATTAATTTATGTTTTATGGTATATTAAGAATGTATTAAAAAATAATTCATTAACTATTTATTGTAATTTACCTAATATTATTCGCTTTATATAAATAAAATATGTAATAGGCATTCTACGGGCTGTTATGAATACTGTAAAACATCTGTTATATTTCACAGTTCCTAAAGTATAATGATAATATAGTGCCTGTGGAATAATGTTTGATATTTTCGCGACATTACGCCATCACGTCATCATAAACGTACCATCAAAAGTGTTCATGGGCGAACATTAAGGCCGTCGTAAATTATTTAAATTATTTAAATGACTTTAATATTAATACGGAGAAGTCAAGCTCGTTAAATGGTTTGAATAAATATGAGTAAATATAAAGTGTCACTAGTAGAATTACTATTTTGAATACGTGATTAATAAAAAGTGAAGTTTCGTTTGTTTGAATCATGCTTTGGTAAACGTAAATTAAACAGTCACATGAAAGTCTACCTATGATAATATCACCCCACCAATCGGAGAATAAAAATAGGATGAGGAGTTTATATTCCGTCTGCAGTGATATGAATATGGTACTGTATCTCTGTAACTTGCCGCTAAGAGCATGATTAAAAATTCAATAACTCCGATTGGCAGTTGATTAGACTCTATTACTGTAATACTGTACACTGTCCTTTCGTATCCCGGATATTTATATATAAATAGGTTAGACGTTATTATTATATACAGATACGGTATTCCTTTTTAAGCATAATATTCTCCAAGTGGTGATTTTTGTAGGACTGGGTACTGATGGCAGTGATGGAACCCGTAAAATGATGGAAACAATTATGGGATTTTTTTAAAAAGTAATAATAATAAATATTGCAGAATTTCACGGGTCCCAGACTCTAATATTAAATTGTTATAATTGTTGTAATTGTTGTAACTGAATTACGACATATTTGTGTACCTATAACAATATAAATGATAGACGTGACTATATATAATCGATCATATGATAAATTATTAAAAGTGCAGAAAAATGATAAAGAATTTTTTCAAAACATTCGTATAGCGTGCTTACTAATGATCGATGAGAAATTATGGTAGATTTATCGGTATACTATACGTATGAGTGTGTGAGAGTGATTGGTTAAATTTTATTTACTGGTTTTCACTCCCACGCACTCATATTCAGCATTACTAATAGATATCTCAATGAAATGAAAGGTATGTATAAAAGAAATATTTAATATTACTGTATATTTTATAATACATTTATGTTAATTCGAAAATGTAGTTATTGTATTAATTATTATACGTATTAATAATTTTGTAAGTTACAAATTGTAGAACCTTTTTAAAACTGCAGATCATGTGACCGCCATATCCATAATTGTAATAATTATATAATTACGAATAAAAAATGAATAATGATAACTCAAGAGATTGTTATTAGAAAGATTAACAATCACACATCGCAGCAACGCCACTGTGCATCATAAGTTCTCACATGACCCGCCCTGGTCGATTCCAATGATTTATCACCTAGCGCTAGCGCTAGTGCTATTACAACTTATAAGGTTACGCAAGTTAAATAATTACGCAAAGATTATGTCATTTGTACAAAAGCGTATTTTAAATGCATCAATGCTACTGTGCATACAAATTTTATTTTTGCCTTTTAAAGTAAAATTTACTATGCTTTTTAAATGCTAATAAAATTATTTCGACATAGCGGACTACTTTGTAGCGGATTCATTATTACAGCGGAACACTACAGCGGAGTAGTACTCCCGATCAATTTAATAATTTAATTATTATTATGTAATACGGAAGTAGAAAATTTACTATAAAAGACCGGACCGACAGGTCCGTTATAGCGGAGGTAAACTATATTTCATGTTAATACAGTATCTTTTATATTTTTAAAGGAAGAAACTAAAAAAAACTTTCATATGTATATCATCCGTTAATAAGCATCTATTCGTCATGCGAATCTGCGATGAAGTTATTAATAAAATATTATTCCATTTGTATTCGAATTACTGTAACCCGATCATCCCGATCATCACAATCCCGATTGATTATCAGGTGTCATAACGTTAAAGGTAAAAATCATATGGATAGACAAAATCATATTCTTAAGGATAGACATACAGTTCTTTAAATGGTAAATAAAAAAAAATTTTTTTAAATTAATCCGGTCAAAAATAATTTGTCATTGACAATCAATTAACTCAATTAATGCTAATTTTTAAGAGACTATTATTAGTTTAAATCCAAATTTATCAATTTTTTACTTAATTCGGTATGGAATATAAAAACAAAGTGAATACAAATCAATTATATTACGTAGAATAAATTGATTGTTTTTAAAAAAAAACATTAACAGTTATAGGTTAATTTCTTAGAGTGATTGATGCATGTATTTCGTAATTTAATAAACTTAACGTTAAATATTTTCATAATAAAATTTTGCACCTGCATTAACTTGGAATCGATTTCACGTGACATAAATACATGACATTATGATCTGACATTATGACATGACATTATCGATGCGTAATGTGATAAAATTTTTTTTAACATTTAAAGACATACCTAATACGTATCTGGTGCTTATAATTTTTCATGTTGTAACTTGTTTCACAACATTCGATAAAATTCCAGAAATTCTTTTCGTTAATGTTTAAAAAAGCGTACGTACATACGGAATCTATCTACCTACCTTCCATACTTTATTATTTCATAACAATAAACAAACTAATTATGACAGTTCATTCAATCCAATTTTTATGAATAAAAAGATTTATTACTCAAAGGAATTATTTTATTCATATAGTTTTACATACATAGTTATACAGAATAACAGAATATAGAATTATATAGATGACATAATACGTATGATCCTTATTGAGATAATGAAAAACTTTCACATAATAATTCCTAACTGATCAATGTTAGAAATTAATTATACGTACGTATCGGTATATCTATCAGTATTACACAAGTATATAAAGTGAGTTTGAATTTTTTTTTTTTCACATCGAAGAGAAAAAAAGCAATGATAAAAAGGCTTTGTAAATTTACTAAATTTAGTTAGTATACGTGTATTGTGATACATAAAAAAAATCATATAATATATTTCGAGAAACAGAAAGTAAACATCAAAAAAAAGCAAATAATGATAGCTTAACATTACTGTAAAAACATTATTAGCGTAACAAAAAAAAAGTACATAGATGATTGAATGAATCAAAAGACAGTAAATTGGCGGGAAATTATTGTGTTACGATTGTGTATTTTAAACGTATCGTATTACAAAGATAGATAACAGAATTTGAATTAATACCAAATATTTTCAAAATTTTCTTTTTATAAACTTACTAAAAAAAGAAAAAAAAGTGACAAGTGTCATTGTAGACAAGTAAAGAAAAATTTATACATAAAAGAGAAATTTCGGAAGCTTCTACCGATTGTGGAAGTTGATGGTTTTATCGGAATCGGAGTATAGGTATAGTCATTAATACTGGAATCGGAGATGTCAAAATTTGGCAATTACTTTATTTAAATCATTGAATATAAAACTTTTTGTCCGAACAGTTTTTTTTTAAAAGTCAAAAGGTATTATTCTTTTAAAATTTTTTAAAAAAATTTAAAATGTGTTACATGGTTCCAAAGTTAATTCCTAAATTTAGAAAATATACTATAAAAAAAAACAATGACAAATAATAGTAGTAATAGTAGTAATTGTAGAACATATTTCACACTGTATTTCATATGTACTTCGATGTACAGTACGTATTTCGGAGTCTTAACTACAAATTCCTAATGGCCTCTTATTAGATGCGATTAGCTATTGGTGATTATAAACTGCGTGACGCGGAAAAATTATCAAGATAGCAAAAAAGCAGTTGAAAATATGAAGTTGTGCATAAAAATTATGCATAAAATCAGGACCTAATCGTGGATATCTTACATTTACTAAATTTATCATAATTAAAAAAAAAAAAAACTAGATCATTTATAAAAATATATAAGACATGAGTTACATAAGGGAGTGAAAGGAAAAGTCCGGAGTTTTATCATGGTGATGATCAAAACGCCCACCAAAATTAAAAAGCAACTCTTAAGCGTTTAAAGTCACGCGCGAAGGGCTGACGATCAACTTGTTTATATAATACAGAAATTGTATGGGGGGTGATACGTAGTACTAAATTCTAGAAATATATTCTCACGGTTACGTGGTTACGCGAATGGAGAATTTATTCCGATAATTCGTGAGAGATGGACTTGCGCGACTTACACATACAGTAAGATGGGAGAGTCTTAGATACACCAGAGTCATACACTTAAAGCCTTTTAGCACATATAAAGCAAAGGATGTCATATAAAATTAAATGATTATTATAAACACTTGCAGTTTTGAACAATAAGATAGCATAATATATTCTTCTACTGCTTATGAAATTCTATAACGAAAAATTAGCACGTGCAATAAATCATTTCAACGCGTAGCGCATAATCTAAAAGAAATATTGGCGTTCATTGTATATCTTCTCAGATCATTTTTTACATATTAATATATGGTAATAAAATAAAGAATATCATAAAGATATCATAAGGATAATAACTTATATTTAAGAGGGGGTATGTTTACTTATTTATTTTATTTTTACATTACATCATTAACAAAAAGAATGATGATACGCAAATTTGTAGTTATTTATTACATTATTATGCGTAGAAACACAGATTATCAAAGAAACAACACTTGCATCAACTGTGTCGCCAAATGAAATCTTGAAGAAATTTTATAGAAATTTTTTATAGTTACAATAAAACTTCCAAATACATTCATTCATGTAGAAATACATTTCATGAGACATTTCATGAGACATTTCATGAGACATTTCATGTAGGTGAGTATTCGCCCTACTTTAAAATTTTAATTACCATACACTTTTTTTGCTAATTTATAATAGCGATTAAACTCTGATAATTTAAGGTAGGACGAATACTTTACCTATAAGAAATTTATTCTCTAGATACTTTCTCTATATTTTCTTTAAGAAAAAATTGGCTGATATATGTAAACTAGAACTACATTTATCGTTATGAGCAAAGTTAAAGGTAGACTTTGAAAAAAAAAAAAATCGTGATCTAAAATTATCGAATGATCTAAAGTGATCTAAAAAAATCATGATCCAGAAATTTCTAGATTTATGATTTTTCTAGAGCATGTTTCTATATCGAAATTTCTAGATTTATGATTTTTCTAGAGCATGTTTCTATATCTTGATCTAGAAACATTATGATCTACGTAGAAAATTATAATCTAGAAGGTTAGATATCATTCATTTCACAGATATCTCATTAGATCAAATTAAACCAAACTAGATCACAAGATATTAAAGTTTTGTATTTTCTAATAAAAAATTTTTTATAATTATTTAAAGATCAGAAAATATTAATAGATTATCTTAATCATATCGATATCAATTTTTTTTATTTTTTTTCCTGTTTTTGCAAATACCTATATCTGATATTAAAAAAAAAAAAAAAAAAAATTAGTTCTCGACAGTTACAGAAAGTCACAGACAGTTACAGCAGAAACAAATATACAATTACTATACAGTATAAGGATAAGTTATCTTTATTTTTAGTATTTTCATTCTGTTTAAATATGTTGTGCAAGTTTATTTAGTGATACAATTAAATTAAAGTTTTTATCGTTGGATTTATTCTTTTTTTTTTTTAAAAAAAAAAATTTTTTTTCTGTGCTAGATAAATTTTGTATTGTATGCAATCTATTATAACGTACGTCAAATAATTAAAGGTCAGCATGTTTAAATGCATAAGAGAACTTTACTTGATCAACCAGATGATTAAAAAATCTGTAAACAAATAATAAAATTTCATGTTTTTTATTCTTAATTTATTATTATTTTATTATTCGTTGAACTATTTGTTCACTTATTATTATTTCTCTCATTGTTATTCGTTTACTTATTTAAAACTCATTAATTCGTTCACTTAACAAAAATTCAAATTTCATTAATCGTTCAATTGTAAAAGTCACTTATCATTTAACAAAATATTTTTAAAAGAGCAATGTCTATATTTTCTATACTTTAAAAATACAAAATAGTACATAATTATCACCATTTTTATTTGTGGAAAGGAAAACAAAAAGAGATCAAAGCTTAAATCCAGTTTAGTTTTCCTTGATCTAAAATAAAAAAATCATTTAGAATTAAATGGCCAGAATAAAAAATAAGTCATAAATTTCTTTTTTTTTTGTTATTCATAAAAAAATAAACGATAATTATGAAAAAAATAAATATAGAGCTTATATATCATAAGAACCTGAAACTATGCAAAAAAAATATAATATTAACAAATCAAAGTGGGGAATTTAGTAAAAATGAATTTAAAGAGTGAATAAAACTACAAGAAAAAAAAAAAGATTGAAAATATGATATAAATCTCAAAAAACTCCTACGTATAAAATCTATAATACTATAAATAGATGTTTTGAGATACTTGTGTATATATCAATATATGTCGATATATGTGGATATTTGTCAATATATATCGATACGACATTGCATATATAGTTTTAATATATATTGATATATTTGAGATGTTAATACTGCAAAGTCTTTATTTAATTCAAGAAAAAGACACCATATTCATCATAAATACTCTAGTAAAGAAACAAGAGTTGAACCTATAACTCACAAAATTTGTAAAAAAAAAAATTTAATGAATTATGATTTTTTTAAATCAGGGTTTTAATCAGTTTGCTTAGATTCAACATAACCGGAGTCTTTACGGAGAGACTTTGTTCTACCCAATTTTGGAGGAGCTGATTTTACAAATGTTACGTGAGAAGAAGCACTTGTAGGATCTTCCATAGGTTCAGAATGAATAATAGGTGAAGTGGGTTGTGGTTTATAAGAATGTTTACGGCCAGGTTTACGAGAAACGTTTGGTACGGTTAAATTGGAAGGTGTAGTAGTAGTATGAAGTTTATCGTTTTGAGATATCATGATACTTGTGGTAGTTATCACTAATTTCTGTAATTCCTCAAGACTGCAAGTCGTCAAATCAAGACCTTTTAATCTCCAGGATAATTTATCATCTCGCTTTTAATGCGCAAAATATATAATAATAATTTACGGTAATAATTATAAAAATAATTTTACGACAATAATGTAATAAATATATAGATATAATTGATATTTAATTGAATACAATTGATCTTTAATAAATTAAAAAAAAAAAAATTTTACAAGAAATAAAGACGCTTTATTCACCTTGAAAAGATTTTGAGTAGTTTTAGAGAGTGCATTAACCAAATTCTCTATTCTTGCAACACGCTCTGTTAAAGTCTTAACACTAATATCACTTTCTTTGCATCTCAGACAATTTCTATGTTGTTGCTTCTCCGATGAATTATTTGGCTTTCCCACAGTAGCTACCTTCACTCGTTGTACTCGTGCATGTGTCCCACGTGTTTTAAGATTGTATGAAGGGCTTTTGGAATTATTTGATCGATTAGTGATTGCGGAAGTCTTGGTTGTTGTCATTATTATAATAATGTTTGAATACTATAATTAGGTTATTGATTTAGAAAGAATGTGATATGCAATTTGTTAATATCAAATGTTTGCGTAGTTCAGCCTGAATATTTTTTTTTTTTTTTTTTTTTGATTATAATTTATATATGAATGGGGGGAACGAGTTTATTTACAGTGTACCTAAACTAATGGTTTTTCGAGTAATAAAAAAGCTTCATAATTCAAGCTCTACGACGAAAAATGGGAAGAATCGGAAAGTTTATATAATTTTTTTTTTTTTTTTTTTTGTAATGATGTGTGCACAATACAGCAGTACAGTAATTTACAGTAATAAAGGAATTTGAACTCCGAGATGCCACACTAAATTAATTAAGCTATTTATTATTACAATAATATAAATAAAAAATTGGCTGAACTAGACCCGTTTAGCTGCACATATAAATTTTGTCTTCCGCAATTATAATTACCGTTACTTCCGAAGGTTCAATTCCGCACCGCTTAACGTTAAAAATTAAATATAGCGATAAATAAATAATAGTCATTATTCTCTAACAACATTCGAACATTATCTACACATATGCTACATAATCACTAGACATTCCGAACTTTTTTTTAACTCCTTTTTTTCATATCTTTAACGATATACGGCATAATACTCCGTAAATATTTACCTACTTTGGAATCCTCTTTCTGCACTCTTTCCCCGTTATTCTGTACACTTAAATGAAAAATTTTCAGTTAGCGTTAGAACGATTTCAGGTTATCCACAGACAATATTCTCGGTATTTGGTATCTACGTACTACTATTTATAAATTTCACAAAAGTCTAAAATGAATAGCAAATGGCAAATGAATACCGATACGTAGTTATGATAAGACTACGTAAGATGTTCTAATATATATATATATTTATATATATTTATATATATTTATATATATATTTATATTGAATTGAAAAAAAGATAATTACTACGTACGTATATACACTTAAATAATTAAATAGTAAAGGATTTGCTTTTTAAAGTAATTTTATACATTCCTTTAAAGTGTACTGTACACTAAAAAGTACTGGATATACCCACGTACCATTATTCTGAGTTGATACCCTGACCCTGTCGATACAGTCATTACATACCGATATGTACATTCACACGTAAATATCACATTTATATTAGTACGTGCCATAAAAAAAATTAAACTCTGCACATGTGTGGCTTGATTCTAAACTAATCCATGTAATCGTAATCGAACTAACGATATAAAAATAAGTAATTGAGGAAAATACAGTATATTCAATTAACCCTATCTGTAACAAATCTATGATCCTAAAAAAATCTCTTTTTTTCCTGAATTAAAAAGTTAATGGTTTAGAATTCTTTATAGAAATGTTTATAATTTAGAATTCTTTATAGAAATGTTCATTATAAAGAATGCCAAGATTATATCGTTTTATTTTTCAAAAATCGATATTGATCTACTTTAGAACCCTTTTAAAAAAATATATTTGTACTGCAAAACTGACAAAACTTTATAACAATCACTTCGTAAGCTTACGAATTATGGTGTCATACGAATAGTAATTGCAGTCGAATAAATTATATTGATATGCTGTATTAATTATGTTTTATGCATTTTAACGATTAATTTTTGGAAATGTATTTTTTTCGTATAAGTCATGGTTAAACCATTCACGCTTTTGAGATTTTTGTCGGTTACGCCCGTGCGTAATGTACCTACACGGATATTGACATTACCCGTTATCCACACGTGAAAGAACAATAAAATGATTATTGTTGCTTCTTCTTGTGGTTTAATAAAATTTTATACACAGTACGTACGTACGTACGTACGTACGTAATCTTCAACAATACATTTCGTGTAAGAAAAGCGCAGTACGTACGATTCGGATCTCCAAAAATATTTAATTCAATAAAAAGAGAATGCCCTTTTTAGTAAAAAGATGTCCAAAATAACGACTACATACATTTGTTTACCCTTTATATATACACATACATATACAGTATACAAAATCTTCAATTTTTTTTTAAAAATGTCTGCGCTTAAAGTGATTAATGATTAATTTATAATGTAGCATTCATTAGATTTGTTTATAATGTTGGTGATGTGGAATGTAAATAAAAATACAGAGTATAGGTTACCTACGTACTGTACAAACGCACGTGCTGTACGTACGTACCTGATTAAATTGATTAGAGTAATAATTTAATGTGACTTATTTGAGTAATTTCCATATAAACTATTATTGTTTATATTTAGAATTACTTATATTACTTATATTAGGAATATAATATAATATAATAGTTTAAATATGGCATTTTTTTTCTAATTTATCTGTTATTGAATATTTTTTAAAAAAATTTATATATTTAATTATTAAATTCTTTAACATTTTAATCGTTATTTATTTAATCGTTTATTTAATCATTGATTAAATCATTGATTTAATCATTGTAGACTATATATATAAATTTAATTTTTTTTCACGTATTTTTAGCAATTACCAAAAAAAAATTCGATTTAATACTTAAAATATTAAAATTGATCTCTTTTTTTAGATTCTATGTAATAAATGCATTCTTTCGGGATTCTCTTTTAAGCCTTGATCTATATGCTACCTTTTCCCCCATCGTTACAGTTCGGATGAGTGTGGAGATGCCCTATTCGACATATTTGGAAATTTTATATCACAATTTTTGTCACGCGCTTTAATTCATTTTATTTTCCTTTATTATTATTCATTAAATATCATTATTTTTATTCTCCATTTAACCCAAAAAAAAAAATTCAGTACATATTGTTATCATGTCAAAACTTTGATAATTCTGTAATTACTGGATTATATATATTTGGTAAAAGGCGGATTCGGGTTATTTCACCGACAATCATTCATTCATTCATTTATATGATTGGTAGAATATTGTTATCAGGTGAATAAAATTGTCTTTGTCAGGAAAAAAAAAAAATTCTATCATTAATAAAAAATTTCTTTGTTGTTAAGTAAAATTAGTAGATTTTTACTTACAAATTATTATAACGCCCAAAATTTCTTTAATTAATAAGCTTATATGCTTACATATCTGTAAACTTGTTTCAACAAAATTTACTCCAACGCCAAATTCTTTAAAAAAGAACCTTTCTAATTTTATTACTAATTTTACTTACTAATCAATTCAAACCTTGAAAAAAATCTATCCGGTGGCTGTGATCACGAAACATGTTTCAAAACAATGGATTTACTTCTGGTTTGTTAACAAATTAGTCAGAAAAAAAACGATGAAAAGAATATATTGGTTTTTTTTATACATATATATAATAATACATAGATAGATAGATTCATGGCGATTATGTTGCTTATGAGCGCAGCATATAAAAAAAAAAACAGAAAACGCAAACATATTCTTATACATTGTATCATTTTACCCTCTTTTAGCTTACGGAATTTACCGAATATTAAAAGTCACAAAAGCCAATTACCTGGATTTGCTTTCTATGATCTACAAACGATTTATCACGCAGATCGGGTAAGGGTTTTTTGATGATCGATATAGAGTACACAACGATTAACTGACACTCTTCAAAATAAAGAAAAATGGCGCATTTTCACATAATGATGCTTGAAATTATTTTATTTAAAAATGATTGTTATAACCAGTTGTTAATAGTAATATGTAATTCATAGAGTCAAGGGGTCAAGGAGTCGAATCAAACTTTAATTCATGGTTAAATGGTGAATCACAAAAAAAATAGGTACTTTTTGCGCTTGAGTTAAGGTTTGTTTATTGTGTTAGAGATTTGATCTAATCAAAAAAGATAAGCATTGTTCATTTAGCGTTCGAATATTCATTTATTGAATATTTATTGATATCCAAAAATTGGTACATGCTTATTATTTGACACAAAAATTTTTTTTCATAGTTATTTGAAACTTAAAATTTGCATTCACACAATAAATTTTTTAAAGATCACTTCAATTAATCGCAACATCTCAATAAATGCCAAATCACAGCAAAGAAACTGCTTAAAAATAAAGTACTTTTAGGGTTAAATATGAATAAAGAAAACCCTTATTTCATAGCAGTACAGAGAACTTGTGAAATAATTAAAATTTATTACTTAATTTATGACGCAGCTGTAAATTTTTTAATAATATTTACGATATAAATAAAACTTAATTACTGTATTGCTGTATTAGAAACCAAAAGAATATGATATTATATAGTTAGTGCATACGGAGCATGCAATAACGGTTTTATTTTATGCTTTACTATCTCAGATTTATGAAATAGTTCAATTATTTTATCATTTAAAAATACCATAAAATAACTGATTTATTTTATAAACTGATCATAGTGAAGTATTAAATAATACATTTTATTTCTGCTAATTGTAATCCAAATAGTACTGATTACTCATAAATCTGATCAAATTTGCAATCGTTTGGCAAAGCTTAGAGTTTTTCATTTCGAATCTGGTTAAATAATTTGCATATTTGATCAGAATTACTGTATAAGTAATTAGTTTTAATAAAAGAATATTATTAAATTGATAGTGTTTAAGTGTAGAGCAATAAGACTAATAAAACCTATAAGGTCTCTTTCAATATTTTGTTATTAGTGTGGCAAATCACTTATTGAAGCAGCTAGATAATACTTAACAGTATTAGTATATAGTAACATATTGTATATAAAGTTTAACAAAATTTTTAACAAGTTTGTCTAAAAAAAAAATTATCAAAAGTGATATAAAAATAAGTTTATAATATTGTAATTACATTTTAATAATTTATTTAAACAAAATAAAATTAGGGTTAGGGTTAGGGTTTGGATTAAAGTTAGATTAGAATAAAATTGCAAAAGGATTATTTTGTTTGTTATACAACAGGTTACCTAGTAAAATTTTGAAATATAGTATAGGATAGCAAAAGTGCACCAAAAAAATAATGCTATAAAAATTTTTAAATTAATTAGTTAACTAATTTTACAATTAAT